ACTGCAATTGTGCCAATACAAATCGTTGCCATAATATTGTAAGATATATATAATTATTATTAATTAGGTATATAAATAATTAATATGATATCATATTTTTCTTATTTAGACGTCATATGGCGTATTCACAGCCCAGGAGTAGTTTACGATGGGTTTCTAGGTTTTTTATTGCAGGTATAATGTCTATAATTTTTGGCACAATATTTTCGGACATTCCAGCTACGGATCCTCAACTTTCATTTGGTGACAGGTATAAAATATTATTAATTTTTGAAATCGTATCAGATGATATTTAATTATTTGTCTTTCAGAATGGGATTCTATTACAGTATTATGATAGTCGGAGCACTGCCACTTATTTTACAAATTGCATTAAATGATACTCATGGAAATGATCGTGATTCTATAGAAAGTGATATTGCTGATAATTTATACAGTCGATTTGTGTACATCGTAACGTCTGTGAGTAAAATTAAATAATGGAATATTATATAAAAATAAAAATAAAATTATCAAAATAAATTTCATTTTTTTTTTTTTTTTTTTAGATTTTCTGCAGTATCCCTTCTACTGCTTTAATCTGGATTGTGTATTCTGTGCCGGCATATGCCATGTCTGCTCTTTACCATGATTACGATTTATATAACACAGAGCCGTTTTTTACATACTTATGTGAGTATATATAAACATGAATACAGTATATAGAAAAATTAAAAACATTTTATAAATTATATTTCTATACATGGTACTAAAAAACATTTCTACTCTTTAGACTGTATTGTAGTTGACTGTTAGAAAATAATTAATCATAATTAAATGTGTGAATTAAAAATATTTTATTTACTAAATGTTATATTTTAAAGTGAACATTGCGATTCATATGAGTTCTATGCAGTTAATGGCAACAGCGATAGGGTATCTGATGCCTGACCGTCTCAGTTCATCAGTACTGACAACCATTACTGTTCTTGTGTCCGGCGTTTTAAGTGGTATACTACTCAATTTTTCCGATCTTAAGAAAATACCCGGTGTTCGGTTTCTTTCGACTTTGTCACCGACTAGGTATTTTATGTTACCGTTATTAAAAAAAGATCACAGTCACGATACTCTATCTTCACTCGCTTCTACCCTTGTGTGTCGCAACAAACAGGTAAACAAATAATGAATTAAATTTTTTCTTATGACTTATTATTTTTTCTATAATTTTTATACGTGATTTATTTTTAGATCCAACATCAAGACATAATTGTACAATTACCATGTCCAATCCCGAATGGTACTGCAGCTTTAATTCACCATGGTTTATTGTCACCGGCGGTGGAGCCTTATGTGATATTCCCTAACAAGGATTCACTATCGGCTGGCCTCTATTTGTGGGGATTTTTCGCTTTAATCGTTATATTTTTCTTCATAAGTATCAGTAGGTTTTGTAATAAGTTTCACAAAGTTTCTCGTCCACAAAGATAACCGGAAATATTATTATTAAAATGTTAAAATTTATGTTTATTTAGAACAAATTATATATTTATTGAAAAACAAATTTCGTTTGAAAGTACGAGGTATTTTTTATTATAATTTTGTTAATATAATATACATTGTTAGAGCTCTTATATATAATTAAATATTTTACGAAATTCATAAACATAAATGATATGGATATTATGACGGAAAATTCGTCATTTTATACCACATGTTTATATTATTGTGTCAAGTCAAATGCTAGATCAAATTAAAATAAACAACGAATAGTAATATTATTTAAACAGTAATAATGTACGCATAATGTTTATAAAATATAATGTATCTGTATTAGTAAATTAAGTCAAATAAATCCTATAAACTAGAATTATAACGATTGACAATTTTTTTTTTTTTGTTTAAATTGCTCAATTTTCTTTGATTTTATGAACAAAATCAACATAAACTATTAGTAAATCTATGTAATTTTAAATATTTTGTATAAACAATTTATTGTATTTTTGTATTAACTACCTACTTACTATTTATTAATATATTAATTAAAATAGGTATATAACTATATATTTATTGATTTATATTAATTTATTTATTTGTATATAATTTAAGATTGCTCACTACAAAATAATACATACAAATGAGGTAATTCTTATGACAGTGAACATTCATATCTCAAATAATATAAAAGGTTTTCAAGCTATCTTTTTTTAGATGATTTGAATTTATTACAAAATAAAATTTAAAAAAAAACTATACATTGTTTACTGTTATCTTTTTTTAATATTTCAACTTTTATGAAGTATGACATCCAGTTTTAATTTTATATTTCTAAGTACAATATTTTTTGAGAATTTTGATGAATCCAAATTTAATTTTTGAGTTGTTAATTAGGTTTAAGTAAGTAGGTATCTATTTAAAGCTTTGATGACATAAATTTTATTTTAAGCTTTTATAGATATATTTAAATTAAAGTTATTTAAAGTAGATAACTGTGATCTAAACTTTAAGTATTTACAAAAAATATACCTATTAATCTTTTAAAATTTAATTACTACATTTTGAAATTTACAAAAAAATATTATGTTACAGAATACAAAATTTAAAATATATGTTATCATTCAAAAGCTTTAAAATTAATAATCAGTAAAATTATTTTGTAATACATTCAAATTATGTAAAAAATTTTTTTCAAATACGTTACCTAAAACCTTTTAAGATAATGAGTATTAATTGTCTAAAGAATTACTCAATTTACTCTGGAATGTTTAACTAAGAGTTACAATTATTATTGATTGTAAAATTGTGTAACAAATATAACAACGATTATTGTTTTATAAAAACTAAAAATATATTTTTGATTAAAATATTTTTTTACAAGTAACATGTAAGAAAATATTCACTTTATATGTGACATAATTGTTCTGAGTTATATATATATATATATTTAAATAGTTACTTTAGTAATTATCTTAATATTCAATTTAAAAGGTTTAATTAGTTTTGCTATTCAAACATTTATATTTATTGTCTTGACACTTTCATATTCTGTTATTATTTACTCATTTCTTCCTTGGTGAAAGTTTTTTAGTTTTTGTCAATTTCGACTTAGGTCCTATAAAAATAAACAAAATAGAAATATTATAAAATTTCTAATTTTAAAAATAAATATCATATATTAAGTATGAAAATTACTACTTACCACTATATTGTGTTTATTTCATACTTCTGTAGTAATAGATTCTTTGGAATATCACAGGAGTAGTGCTGTTTGATTGTTTCAAATGTTTCAATTAGTCAATTATTGCTTCAGTTATTTTTTTTGGAAAGTATTTTTTTTAAACTATTTTAACAATAATTGAGCTCTAAAAATCTTTTTATACTTGATTATTTCATACTTTTGACAATTGATTATATTATATTCTGATAATCAAATAGCATTGCATAGAAGTAAAATGATTTCTGTTTTTGCATAGTATAAAATCCTATAAGTTACTCTTACCTATATATTTTTACTTTATCACCTTCTATTGAACAATGATTTATACAGCTTTTAAAACATTCTCTTGAATTATTGCATATAAAATAAACTCATTGATTACTAAAAACTTGAGTCATTTTTTTAAAAAACATCCAAAACAAATTTAAAAAAAACTAAATTGGCCTTGATTCATGTAAAAAGTTGTGATACCAATGCATCATGGTCTGAAGTACAGATAAAATGTTAAATACTTAATTGTCACCATTAAAAGTGATTTAATTTAAATAGTAGTCTAAATTTTTATAAAGTATATGCATGTGGTCAACCAACTTTATAGTTATTGCTTAATTATACTGAACACCTAAGCGATATTCATATACCCACTTAATTTTCTGTGATTGAAAAGGATTGTTAGGTAGGTACCTACCTATTACCCACATGAGTGGTTATTAGTCATCGTAGATCTTTTATTAACGTACACTATAGCTACAAGTTTGAGATCTCCCCTTTAAAGTTGTAAAAATTTCAAATTTAAATTAAATAAAAATGAAATTTATGCTAGTAATTTATCATACAATATATTGATATTTTTTTTATAAACATCATATTTTGTGTAAATAGGTAGGTACTTATATCAGTTATATCCGATATATATATATTTTTTTAATATTAATTAATATGTTAACATTGTATCAAATGTTTTGGTATAATACTCGTACCTGTGTAATTTTATTTTTATAAGAAGTCATTCATAAATTATTAAGCGTATTATATTATGTAAATAGGTGCTTATATTTATTAGTTTATGTTACAATCTGGCAACAACTTATACAACCGTGTATTTAATATGACTGGTTCTAATAATTGTATTAGTCATCAACGCCACTAGATGTAATCGTAAAAACCCATTAATAAATTATAGGTAAATAATCGTGACATAATAAATCAATGACTAATACCCGAGTGAATAATAATTTAAATATTAAAATTTTGATAATTGATCATATTTTATCATAATATTCTGGATTTATTGTTGATTATAGAAACACTAGAAATAGAAAATTATAAGCCCAAGTATACATTGATTACATTGAGTATATAGTGTCCGCGGACCGCGGTCCATTGGCTAGGAATCGCTGATGTAGACCACTACATCAATAAAATGAATATATGTGTAATCCTTGCGAATAGTAAAATGATTTTTAACAAAAGGTAAGTTTATTATTTATAGATATGTCAGTATTATTAACTACCTATAAATAATACAACTAATACAAGTTCTTAATTTTTTTTAACGTTATTTATTCGATTGGTCGTCATACAGTTGAATTAAATAACTGCATAAAAAACGATAAAGAAGCTAATAGATTTTTTACTATAAACAATATAAATAATACAATCATGAATTAATATTACCTATAATAATATTGATCTGTACGCATAAATAAAAATAAACGGCAAACGGTACTGACGGTTGTGTTTGAATTCAGACGCGACGGCGCTATCTTTGAGTGGATGATGATCGCGATGCTGGGCCGTCAGGTAGCGTTGACGTCCACATCGGTTGCTTGCAGTTGCCCGACAGGTGGCGAAGGACTCGTCGGTGTTGTTGTCGAGGGGCGCTGCGGGTTTCTCAGTAATTGGTATTTGTCGTGCGTCTATATTCCGTTTCTAGCCGTGTCCATGTTTTTGTCATCCCATTGACGCATTCACTACATTTCAGCGTTCAACAGTTCTACTACGACTGTGTGCGCAAGGCGAACGCATCGGCCGCCGCGCTCCTTGTGACCATATCCGCCGCCAATTTATCAGCGTTTTATTAGACCATAACATGTTGTATTAGTGTGAAGTGTGAACAGTGTGATTTAAGATTTTGTCGTTATCATTATCGTGTCGTTTTTTCGATTTAAATTTTATTCGTCGTCTTCCTAATTTATTATACTTGACTATTTAAAAAAAGTACATTTTTTTTTTACTATTACACTTCTACAATGATGATCCACGTAAACTCTTGATCGCGGTTGTCGAGAACTACACTTGTTGTTAAGTACGCGTAATTCGGCATAGTGTTTTAAAAATAATATTAACAAATAAATACATTCTATGATTTGTTGAGTGTGTTGTTTGTTTACGGGGTATTAATGTGGTGCGTTTAGAAATTGTATTTTTCGCAGTGGACACCCAGCAGCTTTCGAAATGCCTGCTGAAGATGATTCGTCCGTGTTATCCAACATCTGCGTTGGTTGCGAATGGCTGGCTACTGAACTATCGTCCAGTAACAAATGTCAGTTGCTTATACTGGACTGCCGTAGTTCTATGGACTTCTCAGAGTGTCACATACGGGACGCTGTCAACTTTAGTATACCTACTATTATGTTAAGACGGTTAGCTGCCGGTAAGATTGACTTGGCATCCACAGTCAAGTGCACTGATCTCAGAGAGCAAATTGTCAATGCATACAAACAAAGTGCGTTCGTGCTGTACGGTGATGAGTGTTTGGATGATCGCAAGATTACTTCATCAGTATCAGATACGATGATTGTATTGGCCAAGCGATTGTTGAAGGATGGATGTAAAGTTCATTGCTTGAACGGTAAGAATTTCTTAAGATTACATGCATGTTAGATATATAGCTATACATTTTATTATTATTATATAACTTAGTTCGTACAGAGATACCTTGATTATTAGGCATAAAATGTTTCTGTACTTCAACCTATATCTACTATAATGAATATTATTATGATTTTAAACATTTTATAGTTTTCATAATGATAACATTTGAGTTATTTCGAGTGATAATGATTAAGTAGGTAGTTTACGTATTAGCAGTTGTACATTAATGATAATTCTTATCTAACTTGCTCTGTCAGTTAAGCAACCAATTAATAGGCTTCTAAATTTAAAAAAAAAATGCCGAGAGTATAATGAATTTAAAAATTACCATCCAAATTTGTTGAATATTTATCAATAGTAACTAATGGAAAAATGTTTTTTTCTTTTTGTAAATTGTAATTTAAAGCCAGTAAGTTTCTATATTATTTAATTACTTACACAATACATAATTTTTCAATCTCAAACTATTTGAATAATTTCTATTTATTTTATTATTTAAAACTAATATATTTTAAGCTTTATTGTGTATCTAACAGTTACTTATTAGGTAGAAATTTACTTAGCATTTGTTGTAATGGATAGTAATTGTTTCAACTAATTTGAATTTAATGAATCTACCAATAATAGATATATAGTATTGCGGTATTGGTATAAAATCAAATTATAAATTACCTATATATATAGTATTTAAATTAATTATCAATTATGTTGTTTTGTTAATAATCTATTAAATTATAATTAGTTTTATTAATAATATATATAATGTAGGTGTGAAGGTTTCTGGAATAATTTAATGAATAATTTATCTTTTATTTATTAATGAATATTATAAAATATTATAATACTTAAGTTAATTCATAAATGATTGTCCCTCTTAAGTCCTATGATAAAATAACTATGACATTACAGAGTTTTTGGATTAATCTTTTCTTGTTTAAATAATTAAAACATTTTGAATAGGTTTTTACCATTAATCTTAACAAAATTATGACATTTTTAGTTATATAGTAAAATAATAAAGAAGCCGTGTGATCTTATTTTATAAAAGTTAATAAAGTTGTTTCGTTAAATTATTTTTATATTTTTATCGTATCATTATTTATGTGTTTATTTATTTTAATTAATTCTTATTTACTTATCATCAAGATTTGAAATGTAAGTAGTTATATCAATATTTTTTATGTAATATCTTTGTGCCGTTCATTATTCAAAAGTTTAAATTATTAAGAAAAGAGAGTTCTATGCTTAGTTTTTTAAACTTTTATCATTATGTTTGTATTTAAAATAAGCTCAATTTTAAGTCTTATTTAATTTGTTTATAAAAATTTGGTTTAATAATCACTATAATATGGTAGTATTTATCTCTATTATTTGTTTGTATACATAATATTATAATATGTACCTATATATTGTACATAGTCATTCATCAAGGTCTTTCAAATTGCATATTATAAGAATGGTGAGCATGACATAAGTACATAATTAATAAAATCAAAATGGTGAAACTTGTTATTTAGTTGACATGATAATTAGTTACTTTTTGGTATTGATAATAGGTACTTATTGCATTTATATTTCTAGATGAATAGTTTCAATAAAAATTGAACATTCTTTTGTTCTTATCCTGATTTAGTGTGTTAAAATAAATATTATCTTTATTTTGACTCCTGATATATTTTTTTTTTTACTTATGCAATAAATAATTCATTTATTTATGGGTGATATTCTCAACTTTTTACTTTTTATTAATTTTTAATTTTTAAATTTATTTAATAATTTACTTGTTAATAATAGGTACATAAAAACATTGTAAATTACCAATTTTCGTTTTCATTACTAGTAAAATATAAATAATTTTTAATTACTAATTACATATATTATTTTAATTTTTATGTACTTTAAGTTAACTTTAACTTTTTACTAATTTGATTTTCATCTTATACTTGTATGTATAATTTATTTCTATTTATATCCAAACCAATAAATAACTATAAAATGTAGGCATTTAATTGACTTTCACTTTTTGCTATGAATTTTCTTACATCTACAATAATTGTTATTGATAAATATTACTTTTAGAAAGAATAAATGTATATTTTTTTACAATAGCACACGTGGTTATAGTCAAGTCGATATTGTTATGGTTGGTAACCTTTAATGCAGTTTTTGTTGAATGTTTTGTTCATACTAATTTCCTGCACTAATAATACAAATCATGTATGGAGGTGTAATCCAAAAATATGTTCAAATATAGACCTATGTCCTATGAACTGTATTTTACGTTGGAACTTAATCTAAGGCGTATAGATGAATATTCGTGAATGAATGTTGAATATCGGTGTAATGATTGCAATGCGATGGTCAGTCTTTTCGGGTAATCTCTATCCTCTCCTGTCCCTGCCATACTAGTGATCCGAGTTAAGGAGTCTGCTAATAGTGTAGGAATGTCCATTTCGTCACCTAACCGAATCCGATTTATTACAAACCGGTATTGACCGAAAACTGTTAACAATTTAGCGGAGTTCTCCTCCGACTGTAGGTGTGAACGCTTCCTACGTGTGTACACGATGGGGTCGGCCATAAAGCTACGGTTACACACACGCAACGCACGCATAGGCGTCGGACCATGAATAAAGACATACATTTTATGTGTAGCTGTGTACTAGAAGATCATAATGAAAACAATTTTTTTCGGTACACTCCTCATACACACACGCACATTTATTATGTATTATAATAATACGACCGGTGTTCATTCATATTTTAATGAACGTCTTATTATTATTATTCATTCAATGGTTGCATCAGTTTTGTCGATCTCGCCTGTTGCTGGAAACCTTCACGGTCAACTACCACTCGGTCGGTACCCATCCTCGTTGTAGGTGTTGTGACCTAATCAAGGTCGTTGGCGCGACCGGTTAGATGGTGTGCAGTACGTTCTGCAGGGTGCCGCCATGAGGTATCTACCCGGGAAATTATTTTCTTTTCTAATCTATTCAATTGATTGACGATACCAGATACTCGTCTCTGGTTTATGATCTACAAGTATAACGAACGTTTTCAATATCTGTCGGTATCAGTGTCAACGTCAACACTAATGTTATTCTTAAAAATGCGAAAAATAAAATAAATGTATTTCGTTAAATCCTCTAAAGAGAAAGAAAATAAATTATGCATGTACCTTAACTCTTAAAATGTTTTGACACATTGTGTTCACGTTTAAACAGAATGTAATCGGCCAATAACTTGTTACTCTTTTTTCCATTAGAAAGTTTATGAATTCCGTATGTTTTACATTTTAAAAAGTGCCAGTAACTTTCGACTTTTTGTCTGCCCGTCAAAATATTAATGGAAAGTACTTATTTATATTTCGTTCGACTTTTTCGTAAAACTCGTTCTATTACCTATACTCCCAGTCCCCACTCAAACGTGAAATGTATTCTTCTGTTGTGTCATTCATTATTTTATCTTGAACTTGCACTTGGCTATATTATTATATCACACTTTGGTCTTTCTTTATCATACCGTTTTCAATAATTATTGTGTTAGAATGTATGTCTTGTTCGTCTGATATTAGACACGTTGATTTTGTTTGGTTTAATTTGACGATAACTGATTGCTAATAGGTAATTATTAATTAGTATTTATGGCTTAATATTGTAAAAATATTCAGCAATTTAAATCTTCTATATAATCAGTATGATAATTGTTATTAATTTACAATTTCGAAGTACCACTTTTTGTTTGTTTTAATCAGTTTAAAAAGACTACCGTAATTATTTTTCATTAAATAAATTACAGATGTTTTAGTATGTGTTTTTATTTTAATGAACTAATAGTTTTAAAACTGTAACAACATTTTTTATTAAATGTCTGAGTTTATTGTTATTAAAAATTGTAGGTAGGTAAGTTTATTTGTGTGTGCGTCGTTAGTTATAACTTATAAGTATTTAACCCCGGTTTTATATTTAGTTTATAAAAGTAAATTAATTATTAGATTTTGCATACTGTTCCTTTGATAATTATTAAAAAATTAACATTGATTTAACAATAAAATAATCATTTAAGGAATTATCATATACTGCACAGACGCACAGTGCACACTTGCTTTAGTAAATTATCAATTGGTGATTGATATTTGACATAATCTATTATCTATGGTACAAAAAAAATGACTTGTAAATTAACTTGTTTGAGATTTATTTAATAATATTAAAAAAAATTTTTACGTGCATTTTTTATGTAATTGAATTGCGTTCCTCAATAATTGTCAACATTTTTACTTGACTCATTTTCCATTGAACTGCATTCACTCAATAATCAATATAAATATGTAAATGCTAACAAATCCGGACCAAAGTTAAAAATTTCAAAATAAATATTAATTTTATCTCGTTTGACAATATTTTAGAATAGTTCAACACGTGAATACCGTTATACGATATGCCACATGATTTCGTGGGTGGAAATGAAGGTAGGTTTTTGTTTAATTCGATATGCAAAACCAGACAGCATACGCCCGTATGTTTGGTGTATTGTATTTATATAATATATCTATAGTGTCCAATTCTTAAAGAATAGACTTATCCACGTAATATTTATTTTTGTTGAAAAATAATTTTAAATATGTTGAACTAAGATAGGTATACTAACCACTGGTTGTCAACAAATATCATTTGTATTATTTAAAGAAATAAAAAATTGCGTCAACCAGTTAACTAATGTGTATTTTCTTATTTCCCTAAAGATTATTTCATATTCTTCAAAATAGTATGTGGATTTCTGATCTTCTGATAATTAAGGTAGCTGTAGTGAAGATAACTTAAAATATTTATTTATTTGATACTAATAGATTATAATATTTTACGATAATATAATGTTTTTAATAGCACATGAGATAGCTAATATGTTTTTAAATATTCTTGGTCTCAAAACTTTAATTAATTTATTACTGTATACATAATTATAATTTGTTGT